ATGGGAAAACATTACGTCAGAGCCAAAGAGGTCTATTGATGGGTTGCAAGCATTCCCAAGAGAGTCAAAAGACAAAAACATGGCGGCCATTGTGGTATCGTTAACAATGGATGCTAATGAGAAATCTTTTGTTAAATATAACCAACATGGCCGCCATGACGTAACGTGCAAATGAAGAATATAGTCCCTTTTCTCATTCCGTAAATACCGCTGTGTTTTAAGACTGAAGACTCATCTCCGCAGGCTTAGCCTCGCTTAAGGGTAAATCATTTGCAAATGTCAACTTTAATGTAAAGAATGTGCAACTTGAACAATACCAATGTTTCCATAATTCCTTTCGGTGAAAGCGGTCAACTCAGCTGGCAAGCTCGTCGTGTGCACTAGAAATATATCTCATTCGTTGTAATGTAATGTTTTCCCACGACCACGTACCATTTCCTAGAGATTAGGTTTCATTAGCTTGAGCGGTATCCATATTCGTGTATTCATGTGTCTTTTCGTGTGCAACCGTTAAACAAAGAAATGATACTCTAGGGAATGACATGTGGTCTGAAATCGGTAATCTTTGCACTAAGACGAATTAGATCTATTTTCATGAAAAATTAAAAACTTATTGCAGGGAAAAAATCGTGTCTTCGTGACAAGACTAAATAATGCGACTAATTACCCAGTTTCACATCAGGCGTCATCATTCGAGGACCTGGGCACACCCCTTAGTCAATATGTTCCCTCGTGTTTACGGACCTCTAGCGGCCGAAGATCAACATTTAATGCTTCGTATTGGAAAAACGTTTAAGTTTTCCTTTGTTATCAAATGCGCTTTTATATTTCTGCGAGTTTCTGCGATCTTTACAACTTCTAGGTTTATGGCTTCGGTCAACTCCCAAAAAAGTATGAGTACTATAGACCGTTAGAAATTGAATCTACTGGATCTACTGATCAGCGCTGAAACGTGATAAAATTGGTGCGCGACGCCAAAAACAAACAAACGAACAAACAAGAAACTAATTTGGGGAATCAAGTGTAGACTTTGTAATCCTCGCGACTACCAAAATCAAGAAACCAGCTTTCTTTAGCATCTTCAGGACAGAAATCCTTGTAGAATTTAGTTCCACTTACTTGGATGAAACCCAGCAAACGTTGAGCAGAATTGAGCGGGAAACCTAAAGGGAAAGATAGTACCACCATTTATTTATATTTTATAATAATAATAACAACAATAATAATAATAATGATGATGATGGATGATGATAATGATAAATGATGATGATGGCGATGATTATGGTGGTGATGATGATGATGATATTATCACACCATGAAAATTTTGACTTTTCAACTTACAATTTAAATGCGCGCAGAAAAATAATAAAACAAGGCAAAACAAAACAGTAGAAACAAATGTCTTTTTTATTGCAAACGGCAAGCAGTCAAGTGAATTGAGCAAAAGAGGCATTCACCTACCCAGCGCAGACCCTACTCATTTCACGCAAAAACATTCGACTTGCCTATTAATGAGAAGGGTCTAGGTATGAAAATGGAAAAGCAGCCACACACTTAAAACAACTAGGAGCCTGAGCACAAGATACGAGGCTACAAGGAAGTAAAAGCTGCACTGAATATGAGAGTCGGGGCGTTTGAGGTCGTTTTGGGAGAGAAAAAAGTCAGCCATCGATATTTTAATATTAATTTTAATAATCTTACTTACTGAACAAAGAAATTGAATGTGTTTGAGCCACATTGAGGCAAATTTAGTTGAAAGTTAAAGTAAAAAAAATGCGTCAGCAAAAATCATCTTACATAGAAATACTGCTGCGTAATGCGGAAATTTTGAAAACTATACTTTTTGTTTCGTAAAAGCCAAAAGATTAAGTGCCGAAGCATTGCTTTGCGGCAAATAGAAATAAATGGGCACGAGAATAAATAAAACTAACTGAGTAGGTTTACTCTACCTTGGGTTTGTTGGTCAAGTACCAAACAAATATGGCATCCTTTATCTTCTCCCTTCGTTTTGAGGTTAGTTAGTTTACTCGCCTCTGCAAACTTGTACATCGCGTCCAGTGCTCTCAAATGATCATCCTGGTTCACATGTTCTCTGGTGTTGAGGACAAAACCAACTCTTGGCTCCGAAGGATGATAAACAACCAGGAATCCTTCGAAGTTTCCGTAGTTTTCATCAATTGTCGGGCATACTCTCCTGTGCTTCGCTTTGCCTTCGTCTTCTCTGCGTTGTTCTTTTTCGATGAACCTTCTGATCCCTTGGCATTCGGCTTTGAAGTATTCTTTGTATGGATAGCCACGAACATTTTTCACATATTCGGAAGGATTTCGGCTTGCCTTCCATTCTCTGGTAACGAAACTCCTACTTGGCCAGTTTGGGATTTCGTTTTCTCTTCTGTAAAACAGCCTGATGTAATCGTCAACATCTACGCAGATGAAAGCATGGAATGTGTGGTCGTTTGTCGTCCACGATCCACAGTGAATAGAAAAAACGCCACCTTGCGGCAAGTCGTACTCAGAGATCATTACATTGGCCAGTCGTATGATTTCTCGCTTCAAACGTAGAGGTATCTTGCCAAAGTCTTGGCCAATTCGTGCCCTTCCGCGATGGAGCTCGGAAAGAACGAAATGCGCTCGCGGAGTGTAGTAATCAAAAGTAACCTTAAAAAAGCGGCTTCTTGATCCATCGGGAATAAGATCAAGATCCTCTTTTTCCATTCCTGTGTGACGCGCTCCTGCCATATAGTCAATGCAGCTGGGTGGGAAGGCTTTCTACTTCGGGTCTCGCTTGCGAAAAGCGATAGCTCTTCATAGAAATGTGCTTGCCTGTCAGTTTTTGATCTCAGAACAGGAGCCAGCAGATTCCGGGTTCACAAATCCGTTCAAGAAAAACAATTGATACGTCAGAGATCATGCTAATACTATCACAAATAGCCACATCTCTTGACATTAAAAAACCTGTGAGTCCAATATACCAATTCAACCAATAGAGCTTTTCGTCAAATCAACAATAAGCTTCTCTATTTTTCTGCTTATCCAGCGGTTGAATTTTCGCGCAAACGTATCCATGTTTGTGTTCGACGCCTGGAATTCTTATCGTATAAAAACCGAACAAAAAATTACTAGAAAAAGTGAAATCGTTCGTCCAAAAGTGTTTAAGATTTTTCATGACATGAAGCATTTCAATTCACCAACTTTAGTCAACACCAATGATCCCGTTTGGATTTTATACAATTCGAGTCGATTAAGTCGCGTACACTTCGCTATGCTCGGTATACATAACAACCGCGTATGGTAATGCGAGCTGTTTCGATATTAGCTTGAATATTCGCATTTCCAAGAAAAAAAGGCGCGGCTTGTCTACCGGAACGTCCCTAGTAGGGGTAGTCGAGTTCATGCCTTTGTATTTTCCATCTTTCCTACCATTTCTATTTGATCCTCAGGTATTTCAAATACAAAAAGTATACTTCTATTATTGGGTAGTATATTGTTAGAAGAATTTGTTCTAGTTGAATCAGTGGGAAATCCTCGTGGATGGAGCAAGCATCTCTCTCTTTACCGTCCTCTCCCCCGACACAATTCTTAGCTCATTGAATAAACAAGTCCCGCTCAGCAGGGAAGCGTCATTTTGATTTCTAGAAGAAACCGAAAAAAAAAACCAACATGAAACGTGGAACAGATCTTCGCAATCGCATCTCATCTAAACAAGACGAGGAGCCAAAGAAACCAAGGTTTGAAAAGAGAGAAGAATTTGATCTCATTCCTGTCGACAAGAAAAGCTCGGTCTTTAAGGTAGCGTTTGATTACTACACTCCGCGTTCTCATTTTGTGATCCTTCCTCGTGATGGCGGACCTGGGGTCGAAGGGAACGACTATAACAATTTGAGCACTGAGACAAAGCAAGAATTAGTCAGAGTTGCTTCGGCGATTGTTTCGGAGTACAAACTGAAGACGCTGGCAACGTTGTCGGTTCATCGTGGGTCGTGGATCACCACCAAGCGTATGTTCCACGCTCATGTGTGCGCTGATGTTGATGATTACATCAAAGTGTTTAAGAAGAAAGAAAAACAGATCCCAGACTGGCCGAGTTCTAGGTATGTCACGAAGCAATGGCGGGCAAGTAGAGATCCTAGAGACTACGAAGCCAATGTTCGAGGCTATCCATTCAGAACGTATATGAAGGAAGAGATTCAAGATATAGAAATCATAAGGAAAAGAGGGCATGCAAAACCATCACCGAACAAGGACAAAGACAAGGGTTCAAGTTCCGCTTCGAGCGACACTTGCGAAGGATTCACATTGTTGTACCATCCCACCGAGCCAAGGGTAGGATTTGCCGCGGTGAAAAAGTCCAATTTTACCGCAGAAGATTACTTGCAAGTGTTGGATGTCATGAACAAGTATGCTGGAGAGAATAACCTCACAGATATCAACAGTAAAGGAGACGATAGAGGATGCCACTTATGTGTTGTCTTCAATGCGGACCTTAAACATGGTGAGTCTTATATTTCTTAACAAACCTTTGGTTTCCAGTTCAAATAAAATAAGATAAATAAAAGTTATCATGAATTCCCATCTACTCAAGACTACCTCTATAATTCATTATTTGCTAACTTAAGTTCATACAACAGTCATTTTATTATCAAGGCCCTTCGTGTTATTTCTTGCCAAAGGTTTTGTCTGGACACATCAGTAAATGACCAGTTTTAGTCACTAAAATTCAGTTTTCCACAATATTTCCAACCCCCTCTAACCCATCATTTTGTAATGAGTTGTTCCAAACATTTATCTCATACAAACACTAGTATTTTTAAAAACCTTTGAGACTCAGAAAAATAGTACGATATTATGACAAGCGATGCAGCAATGTCGACTTCTTTTCCAAGAAAACTTAACTCAGAACTAGTTTCGAGTAGCGCTGACAGAAACATCTGTCTTTCAGTTTCATTGTAAAATGAAATGTTTAAAAATAGTGCTATTTAATGTCAAAACACTGTTTTACACAACAACTGAAAAAACCCAGTTCTTTGGTTATTCTTTGCGTCTGGCGTTCTTAACCTTAAATTTTTGTCTTTCTTTGCGTAAACAAATTTGCCAATTCTGTTTGAAACGGAAATTTAACTCACATCAATGTCTTGAACAAAGAGCTGATATAAATTAAGAATAATGTTGAAGCAAACGCTTGAATTAGCGTTTCTTGGAAAACGCTTCAGCAAGATGATCTCTGAGATGCCAGCCAATCAGCGACGAGTGGTATTGTGTTGTATTGAGATCCGTTTACTTTGCCTCTGAACTCTCGTCACAACCTACAGCTACAGATTTTACATTTTGGCTTATTTTCTGTCAGTACTTCTCTATTATTGTTTTGTTTTGTTTTGTTACGTTAAAACACACAAAACAATGTTTTTTACAATAACTTACAAATTTCTCGCGCGCTGATTGGTTATTTTTTATCATCAATAAGAGGACAGACAGATAAAGCTGACGTCAACCAGCGCGCGCTCTTTCCGTTGGTTGTTTTGATCGCTAAAAATGAGAAGTTTTTATCGTTTTTGTTATTGTAAAAAACAAATTGACATCAGATTTTTATGTGTCTGTCCTCTTATTGATAATAAATTTCGCCATCACATTGTCAAAGTAGTATGCGGATCCACACTACTTTGACAATGTGACGACGCAATTTATTGTCAATAAGAGGACAGAAACATAAAAATCTGATGTCAATTTGTTAAACTGAAATCTTTGATTCGAAAGTAAGCAAAGAATTACTAATGATGCGGAAAAATAAAATCCAAAGGTTTAATAATAATAATTATTGATAATAATTAATTTAAATTCCACAGCTTTAATAATAATGATAATTAATAATGAAATTAAATCCCACAAGGTTTAATAATAATTATTATTGATAATAATTAATTTAAATTCCACAGGTTTAATAATAATGATTATYAATAATGAAATTAAATTCCACAAGGTTTAATAATAATAATTATTGATAATAATCAATTTAAATTCCACAGGTTTAATAATAATGATTATTAATAATGAAATTAAATTCTCCAAGGTTTAATAAAAATAATTATTTATAATAATCAATTTAAATTCCACAGGTTTTGAGTTTGGTTCATCAACTGACGATGATCTAATTCTTCAAGGCTACTTACAGTTAAGTGGGCCAAAATACTACCGGGACTTTTGTCCTGAAGACATGAAGGAAAGCTGGTTCGAGAAGTTTAGTAGCAACGTTGATTATAAGGTTTACACTTGAGGTATAGTCATTCGTCCGTGAAAGAAAATCTTTGATTTAACTGTTTGTTTTAAAAAAAGAACTTTTTGTAACGATATAGCCGCCATGTTGGAGGAATAAAAATATCGTTGTTTTAAGGTTAATTAATTAAAGGCTTATGTTGATTTTAAGGTTTACACTTGAGGTATAGTCACTAGTTCTTTAGAGAAAATGTCTGATTCACTGTTGGGTTTTGGGACGTTTTTATACTCCAGATATAAATGGAATGGATAGACCACTTGCATGTGACGTCAAACCAGCTCAATAGATCCTTTTCGAGTTCCAAAATACCGGTTTTTTTCTTTTGATTACAGACTCATTTACTCAGGCTTAGCCTCGAATCAGTGTCTAAATATTCACAAATACCAACGGTAAAGTAAAGAATGCACAACTTCAACAATACGAACACTTTGAAACTTGACGGACCTTGACTAAGCTACATTCACTCCAAACTAAGCTGCATTCCGACGTACTGCAAGGGTTCTATACTGGTAAACAAATTCTTTGGCTATACAATGTACTTTAGACGCCCTACTTTTAGAACTTACGTGTGTACTTAATCATTTTGGTTTTGGTGCATTTGTAAATAATTCATATGCATTCAAGGAAATAAATTGTTTTTTCTTTGCCTGATACACTGGTTACCTACTATTTACTAATTCTAACCCTTTGTCAGGAATTTCAAGCTTAAGAATTGTCCATTTAGCCCTAATTTCTCCCGACTTTTTAAGAAGTCTGGAATGATTTCTGACATAAGTTTCACTGGAAACAATATTTGATATCCCGTTTTAGCTTCGTTGTTTGTTGTGCACATTTAAGATGCCACTTTTGGGAGTTGATTCTTTCATATGTAAATATTTTAACATGTTCGTCATAAAAGAACAATTCTCAAGAGAATGTCATGTGATCTGAAAGTAAACAACTTGCATACAAAGCTAAAGAAGTCTATTCTATACGAGCAAATGATTAAGTCAGTTAAGTCACTTACTTGCAAACTTGAAATTATTATATCAAAGAGTGTGTCTCAAAGAGTAGAATAGGAGCTGCAGAGGGTCCAGTGAGTTTCCTTGATTTTCTGTAGTGTTGGTTTTGCTTCAAAACCGCACGAATCCACTGTCATATGTACGCACTTCAAGGAGATGGAAGCTGGGGCGAGTAAATGACATACCAAAGGAAGCCCATAACCAATCGTTTTGCTTTTCATCCGAACACATCTATATATAAAATGAAAAAAATTATATTTGAGAGAAATAATAGACCACTTTACCTTAAGTGCAATGTTCTCCTATCTCATATCACCACGTGTCATTCCCTAGAGTATAATTTCGTTGTTTAACGGCTTAGCATGAGAAGACACATGAATATGGATACCACTCAAACAAAGAATCTTATTCTCAAGAGAATGACACGTGGTCTGAAATGGGAAAGCATTGCACCCAAGGTAAAGAGTTCTATTATTGGGTAAATCGACTATCCCATAATAATTTTTTTTGTAAGTTTCTCTAGAGTAACAACTGACGCTACCATTTTTAGAAACATTCTCCTTTTTTTTACTCTTGTCTGTCTTCAAAGCAAACGATTAAAATCAGATATCTTTGAATTGCGCCGAAGTGCGTCGGTCTGTCGCCAGTCAAATATTGGGTGGGATTTGGAATTTCACTAGCATGATGACTAGAACAGTCTTTTTCTGAGAAAGCAAACAAGAAACACGGTCCATTATGGTCTATCTATGGACCAAACATTTTTTTGTGCTCACAATTCCTTATAAGGTCATATATTTACCTACCCAATATAAAATAAAAAATATAACAACATACACACGCTTATATACAYACATACATATGCATATATACTTGATTGCAGATTACATTTATACAAATACCTAATTYATTAAGTATATTTAATGATATACAAAACAGAAAACTCGCTTTATTTATTCTTTATTTCATTCAATGAACATCAAAATATGTTATTCTTGTGTTTTACATCCTACAGATTATAAATCAATTGGTTTTGAGGGTTACAAAAGTAAAATTGCAATATGCATCTCCGTTAGGTATTTGTATAAATGTATAAATGTATACTACAACGTTTCTGCAATCGAGTGTATATATATATATATATATAACTACTCTTGCATCCCTTGCTTGTCCCTGACCCTGAGAGATTGTTAATGTTCTAAATCCCAATTAAAAAAAAAGAAAAAA